CTTCCTCAGTCTGACAAAGACACAGCGAATCTCGCCAGTAACGGTCTCGGACAGGACGCTACACGCAGGGGCCAGTGTGACTGCTGGGAACGCAGCATAAACAGACAACACACAGACACCAGATTTAGTCCCACCGCCCGCGCGGAAACTGAAAGGGTGCAGCAAAATCTATTTTTATTTTTCAGAGGCAGCAGTTCCGAGGCAGAGCTGTGAGGGGTCACTAAAATAGCCCCACAGCTGGTGCGGGAGCTACAGTAACCACCCGTTTCAAAATTCAGAAGGTAGGGATCACAGTTCTGCAATAGGAGGGCCTTAGATGACCTAGGTGGGACTTCAGACTAAAGATTGTAAAATGTGCAAAATATTGTTATACTGACCTGAGAACATAATGCTCATTAATTTAGCTTCTGCCTCTGGTGAAACGTCTACAATTGAGGGTTTCTGTATCCTGCCTCTTGTTTATACAGGGCTTCCAAATGTCATTTAAAACCTTATTGATTGACCCCCTAACACCGATACTACAGCAACACAAGCGTAGATCTCTTTACAGTTTAAAGAAATCAGCCCTCTTCTCCTAGGACATTCACCTCAGTGATAAATGATGCATCTTAAACACACAGACAGAGCATTCTTGTAAAATCATGCAGAAGAAGCCAAGCCAGGCTCAAACTCTCCAGCACACAGTTAACTCAAATGCCTCGGACATTTTGTGCTGTCACAGAGCAGACTTTTATGAGCACCAAATGGCTAACACATTTTTACACAGCTTCCTAACTATTTTTCAAAGAGTCATTTTACACCAGGCAAGGAGCCTATGGATTAACGGGAGTTGTTTTTACCTCTTTATATCGGACTGTGTAAGTTGGGTATTTTAGTTACATATATTTAGTTAAGACACAAAAAAGGAAGAATAAAGGGCTAATTAACACCTGAGAACTGTGTAACAGAAAGCATGCAATCATGCTCCCGCAGTTTCTGCCCTAGCTCTACCAAAGCTCCTCTTCAATGTTTCCCCCTAAAGGACACAGTCAAGACGCGCTGTTCTGCGACCACACAATTACCGATGTCATTAGCGAGAGAAGAGGGGTCTGAGGATCCCAGAGTGGCCTCGAATTCCTCCTGCAGGCGGTAGGCTCTCTGCAGCACGGACTCCAGCTTGTGGATGAACTCGGCACTCATGATGTCCTGTGGAGAGGGAAACGCACTCGTCAGCAACACCTAGGGCAATAGCACAGCAGTCGCCAGGACCAGTCCACCCGGAGTGTCTCCTGAACGGAAACCCAAGACACCTCAAGAACAGTGGTTCAAACCCCAGGAGAAGTACTGTGCAAGAGCAACTATAATTTTGCAGAGTTGTTTTTATTTCATTAAGAGCATATGACTCTTCAGGACTGACACAGAAGCGATTTTCTTTTGCTGCAGGAAATCTATCAATAAGTCATCCTTTAATCTTACAATCTGTAGGCTTGAAAAAGTGACGTTAGTGACTCTAAATATTTAACCTTTAAACTGGCCTCCACTTCAAAATACCACAAGTATTTTGCTTTAATGGGAAAAAAATATATAAAATATGAACTCAATATGTATTAGCCTTTCAAAATCTATTAATTGTTCCCCAATCAGTATATTTAGAAAAGTCAGTGTTCATTCATAAGGTCTACAAATTTCTATCTCGTAATAACTACTTGCAGTCTATACATTTCCTTTAGTCAGATACCCTAAGCACATCTGATTCAGTTGGAAATCTCAAATAATTCTAAAAAGGAAATGTTTTTTTTATGGAATTGCTCATTTTTTTAAATACTCACTGGATCTGGAATAATCTTTTGCATGTTTTTCAAGTCTCTGCTCAAGGCTTTGAACCCTATGACTGCACACGGGGGGGAGAATAAGGAAGTGCAGACTCCTCTGACTCCTCCCATTCCTTAGCCACACCCCCTCAAAACATAACAGGCCCCGCCTCCCAGTACAGAGGTTCAGTGCTGATTGGAGGAGAGGGGTGCTTCTCACAGACAGAGCCCGTGATGCTACAGGGGTTGCTGAGAGGGCTCTACTCGACTGATCTCATCCTGCTGTGCTCCATCAATCGTGTACAACTACTTGGGAAATCCCATCACATGCAGCTAGTGACAAGGCCCGGACTTAAACCTTTGAGCATATAGCCCAACCTGCGGGCGATCATCTTTACCCATTCAGCTAGAGCCCTGTAAGTAACTATGCCTCAGAATATCCAGTAGCACGTAATACAAAAACTGAAACACCTCATGACTTGATAGTGTGCTATTGTGTAGCTGGGGCCTGCACAAGTGTGCTTTCCCAAGCAGGAAGAATAAAACAACCCCCTGCATTACAATAAACGGGCTTTTGTCTGCTGTCGTCTTACGGCGTGATGCCGTGCCGCCGGTGTGGAGAGAAGAACAGGAAGTAGTGGCTCCAGGCTCACCTCCACACTCTCCTCGGCGATGGCGTCTCCCGCCCCCAGCTTGATGGAGCTGCAGTCTGCCTCGTCCTCTGCCTGGCGGCTTCGGAAAGTCAGGGCCTGCTCCCAGCGCCGCAGAGCCTCCTCAAAGAGCTCCATACCTGTGCCGGACAGCCGCTGTTAGAGCCCGGCGCGCACAGCTGAGGGCAGTGGCGAGACTTCTCTTTCCAGAGAATCACCGTCTGGCACCCAGGAGACACCAGGAGCTCCCAATGTCCCAGTGTGGACGCGGACTCCTGACCGAGCTAAGCAATGACCACCAAGGGCCCTCGTAGCTCGTTTACTAGCCTTGGACAGGCTCGTGTCTGCTAGGGACCTCCGGCTAGCGCAAACCTTCCTTTCCCATCACGCTTTCCTGACTTACGAAACAACGTTGGTGCAGGTACAAATTCAGGGAAGGAGCCATTTGAATACCGAGCATTTGCACCGTATGGGACAAGTGTAAAACTAGAGTCCGATTCGATGCTGAAAAATAGAAAAATACCCAGAAACATTCCCGTTTTCTCCCTCTCTCCTCCATACAACTTGAGGAAAGCTCCTCATCTGAAACATCCTGCAGTTTTCCTCTGTTTTCTTTTCACTTCCCTGCAATGGGCATTAACCAGTGCTTATTCCTTTGCAGCTCGCAGGCTCCCTCATCTAATCTCATCTCAAGCCGTGCGACTATTTACATAGCTCCATATAGGCTACTCCACTAATCCAGCTGTAGTGTGAGCCTCCCACTTGTACGGAACTCTGAAATTTCACTTAAGAAGTCCAACTCTGCCTAAGGCGGGCATGCTGCTCTTGGTTATAATTCAGCGTCTGAACACGCGTGCACACATCTCCATCCACGTGCGAGTGCAAGCTGTTTCGGCCACGAGGCACGTGCACCACAGCGCTCGGCCACGAGCCCATGCAAGGACGAGACGGCTTCAGGCCGGTCACCAGCTCTAGCATCGGAAAAGAGAGGCGCCAGGCTGCGCCCCGGACCAACGATTCTCCCTGCGCCGCAAAAAAAGACTTCTAATAAGCTGAAGATCGGAATGCTCCGTTAAATTAATTTTAAATGTGCACATGCAAGCAAAAGCTTTACATAATTTATCTCAAATATGCATAATTGCTGCACGACCAATCGGAACCATGAATATTTTGGAAACGCAGCAAGATTCTCCCCCCATCAAAATGCATCCTACGTCAGTCGCATGCAGTGGGCGGCACGCTGGCGCAGTGCTGTGCATTGCTGCCTTGCAGCGCCGAGGCCCAGGGGTCAATTCTTGGGGAGCTCTCTGCGCGCTGTTTGTATGTTTGCGCTGTGCTTGCATGGATTTTGTCTAGGTGTTCCGATTTCCTTCCACAGCCCAAAGATATACTGATGGGTTAACCGGCTTCTGGGAAAACCGGCCCTGGCGTGACTGTGTGCCCTGCAGTGGACCCGTTGCCTGCTGGGATAGGCTCCAGCTCCCCTGCAACTCTGTGTTGGAAGAAGAGGCTAGAAAAATGGATGGATGGAGCAACTGCATACACAACAAATGACAGACACGATGGGATAAGTAGACACTGGAATGAGTCCTGAACTGGTTCACTTCACCCGAGCCTCAGAGTGAACGCACCCATGAGGTACAGGTTCTCCGGGGTTGTCACGGGGATGTTGACTGCGTTTATTTCGTTGTCCTCTGCCGCCTTGTCCCAGGAGCTGGAGTTGTTGGCACACGCGCAGCTGTTTGAAGAATTGACACTGTTTGCCTGGGGAAAAGCAGTCAAATGGCAGGTTACTTCAAGGAAGAACTCGGACAATGGCAAAGCACAGCCCCTCCGTTAATCAGTTCGCTTTCTCTGCGTTTGTGCTTCCATTGCTCTTAGAAACAGGCTGGATTTATTTTCAATATTTATTTATACATACATTTAATTCAAATTCTTTTCGTTATTCATGATTCAACTGATTAAAAATAGAAGAATTCTAATGTATTTGCAGCTACAAAAGAAACTGAAAGACACTTGAAGGGTTTAGTTAAGATACAGGTCACTCAGATGGCAGTTTATTCAACAACAGACACTTGAGTTAAAACTTGTTTTAAACTACAACCTATATCATTGAAAAGAGGGAGAAATGATGGCAAAAGAGTCTTACTGAGGCCAGACTTTGTGCTGAACCAGAAAACCTGCTGCAAAGCGCTCCATTGGGATAGAGATTGTAGGACTGACCAGCCTTGGAGTTCAAGGAAAGGCTGAGATTCTGTCTGCTACTGGAGCGACTTGAATCTATCGAACAGAAAAACCAAAGCAGTCAATTAGACACAAAGGAACGTCCAAGTCATGCCTACGGGATGTTCTACACGTTTACAAATCGACCAGGGTGGCCGACTCTGGCCCTGGAGAGTCACAGTCCAGCCGGTCCTACAGGTCACCCTGAAGTCAGCAGCTCATACAGACTTGGATCTGCAGGGTGTTGAGCTTTTCATTTTTGATTTAAAGATTTTCCAAATGATTTCTAAACTACCTAATTGACCACATCTCTTGCTTAGGTCAAGGCAAAGGTTTTGCAAACTGATTACTCCAAGTGACCCATTAGACCTCCTGGGCCTCACCATGAACAGGACAGGCCACTAATGTAACAGACTTTACAGACCGGAAGCACACATTCTGTATATTCCATACCTCGAGAACATACTGCATTCTCACTACAGTGAGTCGCACCGTAGCGATAATAATGGATTTTAAGAATTAAAGACACGGTATTGAAAACAAGCAAAAGAAATATGCTGCCCAAGCTTATTCAGCATGCGACGTGCAGCGTTTTCAAACTCCGCGTTCCGATCAAACAAACAAAAAAAACCCACAGCAAAGGAACATGATGAAAGACCCTTTAAAGAACTATTTCAAATGTTTCCTGCCTTGTGGGTTTCGTTTCTGTTGTGCAGTGCACTGCCTTGTGTCTGGATGAAACGGGGGGTCAGAGGTCCCGGAAATGAGGATTTTCAGATGGATCAGATCAAAGCGAACCGGTACACAATGACACCTGGCCTAAATCAACACGACGCAAGCACGGTGATAAAGAACTGAAATTAAGTCACCTAATACGAGAGTACAATGGAAATAAAACCAGGTGCACTGATGGGAGGCGAGCAAAGCAGTGCAGTGCAAACTTACACTATTGCTGAGGTTTTTTTATTTTAATATTAATTCTATTTTTTTTTTCTGGTTGCTTGAGGTTCCTGGATGCATGATCATCGGACACGAGTGATGTACTCTGCTTCACTTTCTGCTAGACGAGAGAGTCACACCGGCACAGCACGGAGACGTTCAGAACCGGGGCGGCCTGCTTTGTTTTTTTGCGGAACGGTGTGAAATCCAAGCAGGGAAATGTACAGAACCTTCCTGTTCACTTGAATCTCCGTATATAAGGAAATCATTCGTTTTTACAACAAACTAAAACAACAGCTATTACCGTGCCCATCTGCTCTACCTTTCTCGGAGGGGGCAGTGGTGAGGAATCCTGGGACGAAGTTCTCCTGACCCCATGGAGGCTGTGGTGTCTTTTTAGTCTTCCCTTTCCTCCTTTTGAAGTGACGAGCAAGGAAAATCAGAGACACGGCGCCGAAGGCAGCGACAGCAAACAGCTTTTTCACGCCAGGGCTGCATCTCACCTGGGGGAGGAAAGGAAGACAACTGGGGCTGGGAGCTGCAAGCACGTCAGAGCCGGCCTGACTCTGAAGGAGAGCTTGCGGAGATTAAACAAGAAAAGGCATTACAAACGGACTGGATTAAGCTGCACTCAGCCCTGGGCTCTTTATGAATACCACTGTGAATCGTAACAAAATAAAAGAGCTGCAGATAAACCGAGATCACATCACAGAGCGTGCAAATCTCATCAGCGCTAGAACATTTGGTACCATGCTTTTTTTTTTTATGTGCAATCTTTAGATATTGTCCGTCATTTCAGTGGAGCCAAAACAGTAAACAAAAATGGATCCATAAGGGGCAAATTTCACCTTTGTCATACAGTATTGTGCATTTTACGCATCATCTCAAATGAACGGAAGCAATGGTACTGCATTTCACATTGCAATTTGACCATGTCCAGCAGTGGAAGAAAGCTGTCCCTTCAATATTGCACTCCCAGCTGCAAGACAAAACTGCCAAGCAGGTCAGCCAGACTGGACGCAGAATTTCTAACTATACTACTAAAGAGCAGGAAAAGAGTTGTGGCAAGTCTACTACAGTCATTTCTTCTTGGAGTGCACCTCCGTTTTGGAAACAGTATCAATACCAGACAGACTCAAAGCTGGTTGATAAAACCAGTCTCTCTCTTGGCTGGATTTATGATCTTGGCCACCCCTGCCACGCTTGCTAATACGTTCCACCAACCACTTCCCCGGCTGCACCAGCCTTCCTTCTGGAGGCACATCTGTCTTTTCTAATCTTCGCCTCGCACTGACGGAGATCGAACACTTGCAGCTCTCCATTCAAACACTCATTCTTCAAGCGATGCTTCTATACCAACAGGCACGTTGGCGACACTGGGGCCTCTGAACGCAACCTTACTCGTCTCCCATTCCCACAGAAAAAGTTTTCGGTCTGAACACAACAGACTCTGTAGCCAACACAAAAGCACCATAGCACAGCCTAGTTTCGAGAACACAACCTACATCAATATGAAGCCCCGTATTAAGGATCAAACCTGATACAGAGTCAGGATTGTTATTCTCAGTTTTGGATACACGTCATCAATTAAGAAAACTAATTCACAAGATAATCATATTATTCCTTACGGATATCAATTCTCCTGATAAACTGCATTATTTAGGAACAAAACCAGGACTGAGAATGTGGATTCTGTGAGTTTCGTGTGTGGCAGGAATGCTTATCAGAGCGACTAAGTGTTATCGCTTCAATCAATGGAGCAGCTCAGCTGTAAAGGCGCCACGCAGTAAGACAACAGGGTGGGACACAGATGTGTCTGTGTGTGCGCAGAGCAGGGCTGGGCGCGGAATCAGGATGCAGAGCATGAAGGAGGCATGCAACAGTGATGAGAGAGCAGCTGCAGTGTGAAACCGAGCCCCGAAACACCAGGGTCGTGATCTTATCTGCGGCTGTACAAAGCCCAGTGGCTCCCTGTTGCATGAAGGGTCTCTCCTGGCCTTCCCCCCTCCGCCTGCCGCAAAACAGTCCCCAGGACGAAGCGCCAGCCCAGCGCCGGACCCCTTACCTGTGGGAGGGAGCTGTAGAGCGAAAGAGGGAGCTCCCCGACCCGCAGCGCCACGGTCTTCAGGGACGACTGGGAGTTGACGTTACTAAGCGCGTCTTCAGTCATGCTCCCCGTCTCCCATAATCCCCCCCGAGCAGCCGTTTACCCCATGCCCATCGCGGCCTCCGCTGCTGCTTAAAGGACAGCTCCTGGACGAGGAGAAACAGCCCGAAGACAGATATCTGAGCGCCGACTGCTCATCATCCAGCACCAGGCGCGCTACTGTCTGACCTCCAGCTGTAGCACATCACAGTGCCAACCGCAGTACCGAAACCGCCTCAGCAGAGAGACCGGCGCACTACCACTACTACTGTATATCACTATCATCACTACCTGCCGAAACAGGCTAGAAGAGCCAAACAGGGTCTCCTCTCGTTTGTCAGGATTCTTCGGTTCTTATTTGAAGCCCATTTTGACCTGAGACCATTTTCGCTTTTCAAAAAACGATATTTTATCTTGTTTCCTCCCTCCTCCCTCCCCCCTTTGCTAGAACAAAGACCGATTTGCATACATATAAATGCACGATCAGTCCCTTGTGTCCCTCAACTGTCCCTCCCCAGCCCAGAGCAGGTGCTGACGGGACAGCGATCTCGCAGGCTGCGTTCGGCAGACTGCTCGCAAACATACCTGACCTGATTCATAGGCCCTACTTTTGAGCAGGTTTCCCTTCCCAAATGTGCCTGTGCACCAACACGCTCCTGCAGGCCTCTCCCCCTCCTCGGGATAGGGACACTCCACCGCCCTCGTGCGCAGCGAGGCGAAGCAACGCCGCCCGGATTCAGCTCGCTAACTAACTGACTGACTAAGGGCTGTGCCACTCGGGAGAGCTCATCAGGAGGGCAGTGAGGTGGCTCTGTGGCTGGGAGGTTGCCGGTTCGTATCCCGCGGCCGGCAGAGGAATCCTACTCCGCTGGGCCGCTGAACAAGGCCCTTCACCCCAGCTGCTCCAGGGGCGCCGTATAAATGGCCGACCCTGCGCTCTGACCCCCAGCTTCTCTCCCCGTCTATCTGATCTCCGTGCTCAAGGGCTGCCCTCCAGCAGGATTCACACACCTCTTTAAACCCCCATCTTCTCGGGACAAGGAGGGGCTTCAGCTTTGGCCCATTAAGCAAATAACGAGCTCAAATAACGTGTAAGGAACCCCAGGAACATTGTGGCCCCCCCCAGGACTGGAGCTGTACCCCCCCTGAGCACAACTGCCAACCGTTCAGCTCCGTATGCGTCTGCGATGCAAAAGGACCTCATGGCTGATCACAGCACCAGACTGGGGCTAGAAAGCTTATCAACAAGACGATTAGGTAGGCGCTGGTCTTTAAGGCTCATTAGTCCCCCCGCTGAAAAACCTGTGAGGTGAACGAGAGCACGTGGCACAAGGGGGAGACCTGGAGCTCCTACCTGCACAGAGAACCTGCCCTTTCGACATTTACTGCTCACCTGTGGGTCTGTTATTCACACATTCCCTGGAAGAAAAATTCGAAACGCTTGTTCGTTGACCTAGTTAACTCTCCTTTGGACGGAAGATTTCGAATGAAAGATTTCAAACAATACAGCTTAAGTCTATAACATATAGATATATAAGCGTTAATTCTCAAACTAAATTTCAAGTGGCAGAATGTCAAAAGAAAAATCATAAAACGAACTAGGACTGTTAGGGGCTATAATTACTGTAGCTGCGTGCGGCTTTTACCAGCAAAATGGGATTAACAAAATTGCAATAACCCTGCGCTGTGCAATCAACAAAAATGATATCAACTACCATATCTGCAGACGGCAGCATGCACTTACGCAAATTCAACACAAAGAAATAAACCATTGTGTACTACTGCCAATGTCGGTTCGGGTTTCATAATAAACAACGGTTAACAAAATTGATGATACATTTCAATCGCTTGCCGGTACCAGCGATAAACCTAATTCCAGTAATAGCCGAACCCTAAAACGTGTGAAATCTGTGCGTTTGATTCGTTTACAAGTCAAAGGAAGGCAGGTGCACAATAGGAGTAGTTCAGGCAGCTCGCTTTCAAAGCAGTAGCTACTGGGGGGATACATTTGACAATCAGGGCGCTGGGGAGCCCCCCCAAAAAAAAACATTTTGCAATTGCAACATGCAGTTTTGCCTGTACTGTTACTGTTAGGAAGAAAAACGACCCCCCCCCCGCCACCACCACACGCATACACACCGCCCCGGTCCCTATACCAGAGACTAGCAGTCGCCAGTACACCTTACTGATGAGACCAGAGCCTTACCGTCAGTTTAATAGCGCGGTCTTCACGGCAGCAGCCAAATGCCGGAGTTTCAAGACGAGGAAACCTACCTACCTACCCACCCTCCCGAGCTGCTACCAGAAATCGCTAATTAAGCCTCACGGTGCCATTGCGTTCAATTGCAACAGCGAGTGAATGAGTGCCGCCTGCAGCCTGACGGAGCAACTTGTCGGCGCTGGGAACTGCTTCCTGGGTCAGAGAACAGCCTTGCAGCAGCCTCAGGGCTGTGCTGAGATTGCATCTGTGTGGGCGACACCCTTGTGCGCCCACCAGCCTCGCATCTATTGTTGCAATCGCCTTCATACTCATTTGAAATGTCCAGAAATTCCTCCCCCCTTCTCCTTTTCCGAAGTATGAGCCGATGCGCGATGGAATTGGCAAATTCTCAGACTCGCCTCACAAAACACCAGCCCAAAGAGGAAATTCAGTAAGACTATGACAGAGAGGCACGCTGTCTGATGGTAGTCATTTTTATTACCAGTAGAAGTTAATTCCTTGAGCATCTTAAACCAATAAAAAGCAGTTCAGACCATGCTAATTTGTACTGGAACCCACTGGAAATTGCACCAGGAATCTTCTAGTGGGGATCCTGTCAAATGTAACTGCTGCTTAAACTTTAAATTGGGGGTTACCTTATTCTACCTGATTTCTGTGTTTAAAAATGTAAAAACTGAAACTCTGTTACAGGGGAGGAACAATCAGTTATTATCAGCATTGCCATTACTGCTAGAATATAAAGTAATTTGTTTTCCGCCAATCTATAAATCTGTTAATCATAATAATTCATTTATAATATTAAGAATTGATTTCTGCAACATGCTAGACTGCAGAAAATTTCTGAATCCATTTTTATATCAGTTCTGAAGGGTCCCACAAATTATTTTTCCAGAAAATATTCACTTATTTGTAGGATTATTTAATAAATACATATTTAATTGTTTTTGTATGATAGTCCATATCCTACAAATACATACAGCGCAAGCTTTTGTAAAATAGATTTTCCGGTTTTTAATTGCACAGGATAGTTCAGGACAAATTCAAACTTTCAGGCATGCTGAAACCATTGTGGACAAATTTCTTAACAATCATGGATAAAAAAGATATCAGAGGGAAGTATTTGGCAACAAATTAAAAAAGCCACAAAATATATAATTTTAAGAAGAGGAAAAGCATTCAAAAATAAAATAAAAACATAATAATTAAATAGAGAGATCAAAGTACAGTTAAGAGTCTTCATTAAAAATATTTCTTAATACCTTTCTGGTGTTTTTGTTTTAAATATGCTATGGTACAATTTAATTGAGCAGGAAGTCCTAGCAGAACTAGAAAATGGAGCAGCTACAGACACTAAAATTAAGTTAAAAATATGATGTTTGATTTCACTATTTATGGGGTTTAGTTGTTTTTATTAGCATTCAATACCCCTCAAGGAGACTAGAGTGGTTGTTTGTTTCCAGAGGGTGTAGTTCACCGCTCTGCCACCGGGGGGCACTGGGGCTGTGGGTGCGCCACCGTTCGCTCCCGCCGGCCTGTGTCATTGCTTGCCCAGTGCGCCGCCCTTCCCGGGCAGGAAAAGCCGTGCGGCCAGGGCCCGCTAGGCGGCGCTGCGGCGATCGTGCGAGCCTACTTTCCACGGTGCAGAACCGGAAGGAGCTGCCCCGCGGGCATCGGCCGCCGAAGTAGTGGAGCAGGAGGAGCAGGAGCAGCAGCGACCTGGGAGCTGAGCGCTGGTCGAGTACGAGGCACATTTCTCCGAAAATGTAAAGGATATACAGTAACGCCGCTGCCTTTCTGACGGGAGTAATTACACCCCGCCTCCCCCCCGACCCTCAACGTTTCCTTTGAGAAGGTAGGCTGGAAACGGTGTTTGCAGTCGGTTGCGTTGGCCAGGCATTTTCTAGAATGTCACTGTTTCGGGGGGATATTTAATTTCATCATGGCTGGGTGAAGAAACATACATTTCTGCCGGGGGGGGTGGGGGTTGCGGCTCTTCTGGAGCCAAATTGTTCGCAGGAGCGCGGCGGCGACCGGTGCTTGGCTGGAACTTGCTCATTTATTCTCGGCTGCGAGTAGCTGTCACTCCAGCCCCCCCGGATATCGGAGAAGTGACTTTTGTCTAGGTTGTCTGGGTCGTTTCCATCGAAAACCAGAGCAAAAACAACAACCACCCAACCAACCGCGCAAAAAAACAGCTTTAACTACCGATATCGTTTGCACCTCGGTTTACATTGTGCAGCTCTCGTTACGCAGTTACTCAGCCGCACCTCATGAGGGTTTGTGGATGTTTTTTTTTTTTGTAGCGAATTAAGGCCAGCCCTCCGCCGAAATGGCCAGATGTCAGGCGGTGAGACAAGCCAGCCTCCCCGTTATTGTGCAGGGTTTTTCGTGTGCCCTGGTCTTGTTCAGCCCGGTGTTTTGAAGGAGCTGGTAGTGATGGTTAACTGAAGGGGTGTGCGCACCTGTTAGGAGACGCATCGTGCAGTTCGCGTCACTGCGTTTCCTGAGCATGAGCGGCCCTGCAACGCAACGCATTCATATTTCACTAGGAATCCCGTCATTCCGGGACCTTCATTTTTTTTTTTAAATTGCAATATTATTGCAGCAGTGTCGCTGCGGGAACGCGTGGTTCTTGGGTTTAAAGGTGGGCACGTCACGTTGGGGTCAGGTTTACAATGCTTACAAATGCCGGCGCTCTGGAGCGCCCTCATGCCAGGGGGGTTTCGTCTGAATCTGTTTAAAAAAAAAACCCACCTGCGTGTCTGAAAGTGAAATATCATGAGCAGTCTTATCAGTTGAATGTGCTTTATCTAGATAAAGCTTGGTCTCACTCATAAAAATAATTCTTCTTTCAATAATAATAATAATAATAACAACAACCATCTTATTGATGATATTTCTTAATAATCCATCATAAATGCGTGCTGGTTGAGTATTCCGTGTGTTATTGTTGCAGTATGTGCATCCTTGTCTTTCTGAAAACGGTAATAAAACCAGCACTATAACTCACAAATGTGTTCGCTGCTGGCAGGAAGTTTAGAAAGTAAAATCGTTATGTTTAAGTATCACATTGAAAGTCTATAAGATGTTGGCACTCTGTCAGCTGTGTTACCATCGGTATGCAAGCCAGAAGTGCCTTGAGAAAACTGTTTCTTGCCACTCTGCTCAGAGGATAAATTCGCAGTTCAAGAAAATGTTATATAATCTGAAAGTGCAACGTGTTTAATATTTTAACAGTAGGGAATCACTCAGGTTTCAGAAAGTTCCTTAGCATTAAAAGAAAACTGACTTCAGTACTTTAGTGCAGGGGCTTGTGGTTCTGGGGATCGCACTGGCGTTCGTTTCCATTCCAGCTGAGCTCGTTACGTAATTGAATCCTTTAATTGACCCAGCACATTGCTCGATTGGAACCTTTTTGACTCTGTGCAAGAAGTTGGAGATCCTCTGTGTGACCCATGAATCACAAGAGTTAAAAGGGAGCTTCCAATACGTCTGGGGACTGAGAGCATTTAAAGAGGGGAAAGTGTACCTCTTACTAGGTCAATTAAGGGTTCATGCAACTGAGAGCTCAGTCAGCAGGTGCGTAGGTCCCCAGGATTAGCGTGGGAACCCCTGTATTGGTGTCATGTTTGTGTTTGGACGTGCATCTCTCTCCCATGAGGCAGCCACTTATTTTTTAACCATGTCTTGCAGCCGCAGGCTTTTAAAAGCACCCGAGCGCTGACAAGGTATGAAGTACGGTATCAGTATGCTTTGAAGGTCATGATTTTGCACTGAAACGGCAGCCGATAAAACATTAGGAAAACAGCCACGTGCTGCTTAGATCGTTGAACAGCCCATACTAAGGTGTTCTAGGAAATACTATTAAACTATTACTCATCATCAATGTGTGAAAAATGAAAGATGTTACTGTCAGTGCATTTGAAAGTGTATTTGGAGGCTTAAGTTTGTATTAAACGGGCAAGTGTAGAGAGTTGAGTAGTACAGAAGAAGAGGGAAGAGTTATCAATGAAAGAAGCAGAATCGTGCTTCTGGAGAACACTTGCCCCTGTTGGATTGTTTTGTGGGTTCCCTGTGTGGTTCCGTGTTTACCCTGAAGTCATCGGATCAGAGGGCTGTGGATGCTGATTTGCTGAGCCATCCGTTGTGTTAAATTGCCATAATTGGGATTGCTTTTGAACAGCAGCAGCACTGGAGTGCCGGGGTACTCAAGGACAGTCTTACAGCCTTTAATTGAAATTTTGTGTTTTTCCTCTTGTGGCTTTATTTTGAATTGATTGCATTAACAAGCAATTCAACTGTTAGATACTCTAATTATATTGGAATAAAAAAAAAACTGCTTTAGCTGATTTGGTCATATAAGTTATGAAATGTTCTTTTTTTGGCTACAGAAAACCCTCCATGTGAGTGAGGCTGGGTGTCTGTTCATTTCATGGCTCTTCTAAAGTGGCAGAGGGTCATTATGATTCATTCCAACAATTAATTCAGGTGTGCCCTTGTCAGTTAGGTGACACTCTGCACTACTTATGTAAATTAGGTCTGTTCTCCTAAATTGTGCATTTTTTTTTTATTCATGCACTACAGTGGTGATTTCAGGGCTCAAGTGTCACCCACTGTGAAGGTCAAGTGAGCATCCTCTGATTGTGCTGCTTTAAAGTAGAGGGCAGTGTTCTCAGACGGCACATGTCTTTAAACAGAAAGTGCTACAGACAAGTCTCACCCTGGTTTTGTCATTCTATTTTTGTCTGTTTCAAAGAAGGCCATCGTGTTTGCTCAGTCTGGGTTCAGTTAAAGCCTTTTTCCTCACCCTGCTGTCTTGGAAGCGGCGAACCTCTGTTGTCACTTGCTCAGTGCCGAAGGAGAGCTCTGGGCCAGGTTTGCTCAGCTGGAGAGACTTGTCGACTTCATTCGGACATGAGGCACGGGTCACGGCGAAGTTAGTATGAAGAGCTTCGAGCAGGGAGCTGTGTCAGTGTGTCGGCTGCAAAGAAACAAGCAGAGGTCTGTGTTTAAAACCAAGAAGCGGAACACTGTTACCCACAGGGTTGTGAGAATATGGAGCGAACTACCCAGCCCTGTTGTTGAAGCTTCTTCCAAGATCCTGGGATCGATCTACTCTTCCCAATTAGACGAGGAGGGCCGGATGGCCTTTTCTCGTTTGTTACCTGTCTCATGTAGTGGGAGTCTTTTTTTTTTTTAAAGGACACTGCATGTCAACCTTGTGAGTACCCTTTCTGCGTGCAAGAAAGTATCCATGTGACTGCGCCGTGCTGTCCACCGTCTTGTCAAAACAGGAATCAATAACAATAGCGAAACCATTGTACACAATAGATGTTCTGCTGTGATTTTAGGGCAACATGCAAACTGTCATTAAGTGCGTCTTGCAGCCAATGTCCATATTAACATTTTTGCCAGGTGTGTGAACTGCCTGACCCCCAGACTTAAAAGATGACTCTAAAAGATGATGTGCTTTGCAAATTGTACAGATGTACGATCTATGGTAGGAAACGGAAGACAGGTTTTTTTAGTTTTCTCTTCTGTTCTGGTTTATTTTTCTGTTCGCAAAAGGGGTTAGTTTTGAAGCTCTGTCATTGCGGGTGCTGGAGAGGTGCTTTAGGCCTGGGGTGATGTATTGTATGTGTCTTCTCTCGAGGACGGGGGAACTGCAGAATATCTCAAGCAGTTGTTCGTTCTTTGGCAGACTGTCAAGTGACTTTGCAGCTAATTCACTTCCTCCGGGAACCTGGCCCAGTCAGAGTTTTCAATTCACTGCAAAAAAGGAGTGAAGTCTTTTGTTGACTTTTCAGATGTTGGATATTTAATTAGGTGTCTTTAATTGGTGGTGTGTTTTCAGATAATGCAGAAGAGTCCTTCTTGCACGTCCTGTACAGTAGGTTAGAAGTAAGGTGTCCTGATAGAGCAATCACATCAGTGGTGGAGTTCAGGTTGTCTCTGCATAGTGTCTGCATTTGCCTTCAAAGGTGCCAAAGCTTGAACAAAGAAAGAACATGTAGCTGGTTCTGGAAGACAATATTAGAAATGTCTGAGAGCTCTGTTTCTGGATTAACTGCGTGAAAGAGTAAAGGCTACAGTTCTCCCCAGGTGCTACAATTGTTTTATCCAGTGAGTTTTTACAAATCTCTGAGTAGGGCACAAGTAATTTTATAATGGCAAGTGTGTATGTGCATCCTATATTGTTTAAAAATGAGAGTGGGTGCCCAAGCTCATGACCCGAGCTGCTGTGTGTCAGGAAATGTGCAGGGGTGCAGCAGCTGAGGGAGGAGGAGTGCAGTGCACTCTCCTGCTCAGACAGTGGGCGTGGAGCCTGGTTTGGGAAGCCCTCCCCTCTCTGGAGATCTTCGGATGAGCGACACGCAGCGGAATAACGGCGGTCTCTGTCATCATCATGCCAGGCATTGTTCTGCAGGGATAATGGTTACGTACCCTGCGGTTTTCATAGTTTTGCAGTATTCTCAGTGAAATCAACAAGTTCAAGGCTTCTCCAGCTTCTGTTCATGGGGTCTGTAGGTGGTAATTGTTTGAATCAGTTTCCTGTTTGAATTGGGAACTTTATCGAGTCTTTTAAAATATGGTATGTGTATTCTAAAGTGAGTAGTTATTCCATAAATATTTCATTGCACATATGGCATATTTTGACTAAAGGGTCAGAGTGTGCTTTCTCTTTCTAATTCAGTGTTTGCAGTTGTAATTTCCTTACAGTAACATTCTGCCATTTCTGTTGTCCAGTACAAGGTTAAAATGTCACATTGGAGAAACACCTTAACATTAACATAGGTTTGTATAACTTGCTTGTGAATCCTTTCTGGGGATATGTGTTTTTTTTAGCACACTGTCACTGCTATAAAAAAATCTTGGGAGAATCTTAGCGAAATTAGTGTGATTTCTTGAAATAGAAAGTGTTATTTAGCAACATTTACATTTAATGTGTTTACTTGGCAAAATTTCCATTAAACCTTAGCAGTAACTGAGTCTTAATGAACCTTTTTTTAAGGAAAAAAAGTTCCAAGATCATTATTCTGTTCTCTGTTTTGTTTATAGCCACAACAGGCACTTTCCTTCTAAATCCTGCTATGTTGGAGAAATCTTTCATTTTGTTTACAGTCATCCAGTACGATAAGTGTCCAAGATAAAGCACACAGCACCTCGTCTTTTTCTCAAATCTCCTGTGGTGTCGTTTCTTTGTCAGCTGCCTTCCGGGGTGTTAAACTCAATTACCGAGCATTGGAGGTAGCCCAGTCAGATAGATGCTGGATCAATAAAGACGTTTGCAATTCTGCTGAGCAGAGGAAACAACCGTATTGATTGGTGTCGTGTGTTGAATCTGAAGCTGAGGTGTGTACGATTATTGTTAGAATGCTGTTTTTTTTTCCAGTAAGAAACAAACAGGTTCACTTTGTCTGTAAGTGTGTCTGAGATCTGCTGCTCGTGTTATCGGCCCTTCCCATATGTCTGTTGGGGATTTTGGTCTCAGATGTTTTTCACTTGATATAATCTGGAAGACAGTGAAGATAAACACATTTCTGGACTTGCCGTAGCACAAAACACGTCATTATTGCATTGTAGTGCAGCTTGAAGTAGCGTGAGATTTATTTGTTCCTTATCCATATTATTTTTGTGAACCTTGAGATAGTGTAGTTTTCCATGTCATTGAATAATAGGACGCTTTTAGGGGCCTTTAATCCTGCAGGTACTGTATATTGATTGTTAGCAGCAAGTAGTTTCAGATTTACTTGTGCTTTTGGTGTTGCACTCCACTACTGTACAGTTCAATTATTAACATCCGGTAAACCGGCTCTCAGAGTTTTCCTTTGCGGTCTGTTCCAGCTGGTTTCTACAGTAGCTCTCACTTCCCCAAATGAGCCACGCTACTGCTAAAAGGGGAGTTGACAGGGCGCGTGTCAAAGCTTTCACACGTGTGAACGTCACACCTTCTCAATGGAAAATGCCTCCTGCCTAAAAGAAAATCTGTGGGGCCTGTCTCCAGAACGTGGGATTATCCCCCTCTGCCAGGTGTCCGCTCCTAAGTCCTTCCTGTGGTGCAGAGCTGTGTCTCGACCAGAAATCTCCATGCTCATCACAGGCAGCTGGGAACCTGAAATCCATAGCACGGCATCGCTGTTATTCTGTTACTTCACCCCCAAAAGAAACACCAATATAGTAAAGTGTGTACAGTAACACAGTTATATAATATAGTGTGCCCTTGTCAAATGGATCTTTTCTAGACTGAAGATTGCCCGTCCACTTTAAAGATCTTGCTTTCAGGTATCTTCTGCATAATTGAGATTTGTAGATGTGTTTGACAGTGAAACAGAATGCATGCCTGTCTTAACATTGTTCTTAGAGGTTACAATCACCCTGTCTGAGCTCCTGATGCCTACAGATGTAAGAGCGTGTAAGTGGCCTGTTACTGGTGCTAATTCTGAACACTCTAGGAAGTTTCTGACTTTGTCTCCTTCACTGGCTTTTTATAGGCTATGCTCTGTCATGCAATTAAGATATGCCAATCTCCAGAGTTTTGCACTGCACCTAAAATAGATTGCTGTTCAGCTTTGTATGTTGTACTACCCAGTAAGCTGTTATTTAATGGAACCAGCTTTTATTTTTTATTTTCATTTTATTGCAGTCTTGCTGTTTTTCCCTAAAACTCTGCATTGAGCTCCTGTGATTGTCAGCCCTCTTGCAAGCTCTCCGAGTTTTGTAAACTCTTCCGTCATGTTGTGTTTTGATGTTTTCTGTATAACAAAACTTGCATTTATTATTTTGTTTACAATCCAAAGTTTTTTTTTCCCAGTGTTAAATGCAGTTTGTACACCACATTTGTATCAAGAAAGTAAATATGCAGGCTATCTGACCACACCAGTATGCATTATATATTAATTTTCATATTATTGCAGGGACTCAGATTTCACAGGCTATATGAGCAATGGAAACATCAACACAATATCTGCACACCATACGTTTCTCAGAAAATGATTAATGATTCATACCTTACGAAAGCCGTTTCCTCTGAGTGTAGTAGCCCCATTTCAGTAGGAAGTATTGTTTTCCACTGTATTCTGTAGTTGTTTTCGGCTTGGTCAGAGGATGTCATTGAAAGGGTTCGGAAGTGTGTACAGTTATTTTTCCTGGTTAGGGCATTTCTTTTTTTGTGTGAAATTGGAAAATAATATCAAGACAGCTATGAGTGCTATTTAGAATAAAATCACCGTTAGTGCTTGATGTTTGTTCGGTAGCAAAGCCCTGATTCCCTTTCCTGGGTACTGTCTCTGGGGACGTGTTAGCTGTCTGAGCCTTTAATTCATGTATAATTCACAACAGGAGTGGCAGACTGCAGGGGAGCCTGGCAATAAACGCCTGATGAAAAGGGTTTTCAGTAGTACAACAGACCTGTTCCTTCTGAACGTGCTGTAATTATGACATGAAAAAAAATCAAGAGGTTTAGAAATGGAATGCATATGAGGCAAATGGAGTTCCTTGTCCCTTCTGTCCAGTTGCAGCCTCTCTCTCTCGTATGTACCACACACACAATTATAATGTGGCACATTATTCCCTGCTAACTGCAGCAGCAGATGTCTGTGCAGAGTCTGGCGAACCAATATGCTGAACAGGGCAATATGATGGAAGCTCAAAGTCATAAATCACAGGGAGCACGTTCGGGTTGTCATTTGCAGTAAAGCAAGCAATGTCGTTTGAGGAGTAACTGGGCTTTTTTTTTTTGCAAGTACTGTATTAAATAGTTAAGATTTAAGACTGATGCTTGCAGTAAAACATGAGCTTTTTTACGTACCAAATATTCGGGCTGTAACCCCTTCACTCCACTCCCATGCTATCGAATGATGTTTCTGTTGTAAAAAAGGGCCCTGAGCTAAAGAAGATAGTATTTATGTTTTTAGACTGTCAGGTTTTGATATGTGGTTGGATAAAAAAATAAGAATACATTGGAAAATTTTCTAGCCGTTAAGTTTCAAAGGGGATTGAAAGCAATGCGTGGAATCCTGTCTCTGTGGGTTTGCCAGCAGCCATAGCCTTGTGTTTTGTATTTGGTTTTGTGGTTTTCTGATATAATCCACATCTCTCCCTTTATTGTATTCTGGGTACCTTGCATAGAAACAGTTATAGTAATGATCACTATTTTATCGCTACTTTATCAGTGCATCTCTGAAAAGGGCGTAATAGTGTGTACAAAAGCAGAAGCTTGGGAAGCCTGGAAGGGATAAAGTTGAAGTTTTTATCTGTTAAACTGCGTTTCTTTTGAAGTGTTATTGCAGAAGACTGGCGCATCTGGAGAATGTGTTTCTTGTGCCACGGTCAGCTGTGCCCTAGAGGTTAAGATCTGACCTCCCTGTGGTCCTTGTGGCACAGGGTGTTTGGCTGATGTGGACTGACAAGCGTGTCACAAGCTGTCTCAGCTCTGCCTGTGCCGTGTCTCCCGCAGGAAAGCTTCATTCCGAGGACGGGCAGGCATCTGTCTGGGAGAATGTCGCCCGTCGGAGTCAACGGTGACTGTCCGCACCTGGAGTGTGTGGGTGAGATCACTAAAGAGGAGCTGATCCAGAAATCCCATGTGAGTTCGTGAAAAACGGTGGTTAGGGAAAACCACTCCTTCACAATTGATTTGCAGCAGTGGCTCCCTGTCCTGGTTCTGATAACCCCCCATGCCTGCTGGTTTCCATTCCCTCCCACCTTCGGTAGAAGCCTTATCCAAAATCTAGGAAGTTGCTTCAGTTGAATATTTGCGTTTTGTATCTAGTCACAAGTTGGCGGTTTTATTTCACTTACAGTATGGCTATAGCTCCAACATGCGAAAGAGCTGGGAACAAACAGTTTACATTAATCTTCTTGTTATTAATAAGTCAATGAAGGGTTTGATTGTGTACCTGAGGGCCCAGCTGTAACAGAAACCAACTGGTGTATTGTGTGTCTCCAGGACCAGGATTGGGCACCATTGATTAACAGTAACATGCACACAAATGCCTGATCAAAATGATGTTGTTACAGATGTAAGGCGAAGTCCTTTTCCATAATTTGTATATCTCAGTTTTGTGGTGTTCTGGTTTCGGGTTTAAGTACAGTATGTGTGACAATCCCACAATGTCTCTGCAGGGCAAATGCCAGGACTGTAAAGTTGGTGGACCAAACTTGTGGGCTTGTTTGGAGGTGAGTATGATAAAGCATGTTTCTGACAGAGCCGGCTGGGAGGCAGAGTACCAGCACGGTTTTAACTGCAGTTAACCCAGGCACATGGCAATGTATTCACAACGGCCATAACCAGTATCTATCTAAATTTATAGCTATAAATCATACCAGACAGTGACTGTATAATGACTGGCTCTGAAAGGGGTCACTTGCAGACCACTTCGGAGTCGCTGTCGTAGGAACTGTTTACAATGTTGGTTTGCAAAATATTTCATTTTGAACCCTTGCATGTGTTTGCTATAAGACCAAGATACTCTCTTTCATTGTTACATGTGTTGTTTCTTTCTTTGTGCTTGTTTGTGGTTTTGCAAGGATCCTACAAGGACTCAGTTTCCTGCTCAGTTTTGGGAAAATTGTGCGGTTTGTTTGCATGAAAGTCAAACAGGTTTTCTGCCGCTTTTCGTTTTTCACACTCCTGGTAATGAGCAGGGGATTGAAATCTAGACGTTTGCTTTGAGTTTTGTCATTGCTTTTAGTTTTCCTTTCATCTGGGACTAATGAGCGGTTTCCTCTTTTCTCCCTGTAGAATGGCTGTACATATGTGGGATGTGGAGAGTCGCACGCTGACCACAGCACCGGTCACTCTCAGGTGAGTAGCTCTGCCGAGATCCCCTGGTCAGAACAGCAGCAGACCTGCTCAAAGCACGTGTGTTAGGGGTAAGCATTGGGTTGGACAGGGAGTACAAGGTCATACATCGATAGGGAGCATGGTGTAGCTAACCCATGCCTCTCAGGTAGTTTAAGACGGCCCAAGAGCTTCCTTTGTAGCTGCTGCAAAGTAGTTTGAATCAAGTCTGGTAAAAGCTACCCAGCCATGTGGTTGAAGCCGATACTCTGGCTTCATGAAACTGCTTCATGAATCTTGTTTGCCACCTTTCTTATACTCTTATGTTCAGCTGCAGTATTGGCTGGTTGGTTTGGCAGGTTTTCTCCGGAATATCTGATTTTTGCGTTCTTTATTAATGATAATTGAAACATCCTAAGCAGCGGGTTATTTTTCTGGCTTTAGTGTTTTAGGCTGTGACATAAAATATAGTGTCCATAAATACATCCGATTAGCGCAGCCTTTTGACTTCTGGGAAAGATGCATTACCACAGTTATTGTTTTAAGTTCAGTTTGATTTGTGGATTATAGTACTTGTATAGCCAGCATTCATCAGATGTCGAGGGTGTCTCACTGGATTGATTGACTGACTGAAGAAACCTGAGACATGGGGAATGGTGGTACATATCTATTTCAATAGATTCTGTATTGAAACAGCAGAGAGAGCAGAAAGAGTCACCACGGTCAAAGGGAGCAGTACTAAAAAAAAATGCCCCTCAACACCTTGAACCTCTCATTTATGTCTTAATGGTGTGATAAATACAAAATAGTGGGTGATCACCTGTGACTCCATTTATATCTGAGACTTTTTTACTGGGGTTTATCACTTAAAAGCAAGCCTTTTGGTAGTCCAGTGACGTGCACATGTGCAGTACTTGCAGTATTTGGTGCCAGCTCTCTCTTCAGCGAGCTGGGTCTGGCTGCTGTGCAGGATGTCTGAAAGCATGTTTACTTATCAAATGGAACCCTTTTTATTAATGAACTCATGACTCTTCATTGGGATTGCTACAGCTTTTGGGTTCAGCCCAGTTTTCTTGAACAACGTGTGCTTAATTACAGTAGTCAGAAATGTGCATGACAGTCACTTAAAAAAAACCGTGGTGTGTTACAGAAGCTGCAAAAGGCGAACAATTCAAAAGTCTAGTATTTTCTGGTGCAGTTTTACGTAGCTCTTCAGATTTAAGCCGAGACTCTATTTCAGGGGGTGAAAAGCAGCTTGTAAGGGCTTGCAGGGAAGAGGGCAGAATTAATTGGTCGTTAAAAGAAATGAGAAAAATAGCAGCTTGTTATTTTAGGTGGTTCTCCAAACCACTTCTCTCTCTCAGACAGGATTTTCGAGAAACAAGAGGTGTTAACCCCCTTCTATGGCAAAGGTTCTTAATAAACGTTTCACAACACGCCCCGGTCAAAAATATTTGCCTCATTAATGTTAATGTCTCGAAAGCTAATTGTGATTCATTAATAATGTATTCTGGCATCTGCTGGGGTCCTGGCTCCTGAGCCCTGTGCCTGGGCTGCTGGGGTTACTGGGCAGGCTGTTGGCCTGAAGCTGCAGTTTCAGTGTGTTTCAAGGGCTGGTTTACAGGCTGTCGCTGTATTGCAGTCAGAGGTGGAATTTATAATTGCAGGGTTCTGATTCCACACAGTGCTTTTTGCCAGTGTTTTTTTTATCCTTCAGGGGGAAAGAATGCTAACTTTATGACCAGTTTCCCAGACAGCTGAGCTAACCGTGGTAGCTGGCATACATCGGATGTGTTTTGTGGGGGTACAGAGTGCGTACGTAATCTGTTTTGTTTCTGCAAGCTCACAATATTTCTGAATTAATTTCCCGTGCGGCGGCTTCAATAATCAAATAGCTGAGCGTGGCGGTCAACCGCCGATCTGTCCGGGAATGACGATGAGGGAGTCGAGCCTTAACTCGTCAGTCCCCTTTCGTCTGGGGGGGGGGCTCCCGCTGCCGGGGCTGCTAACCAAAGCCTCTGGTTTGTGGAGGTGGCCCCTACGGAGATGATCAGAAACCGCAGTAGGGAAGACCACGGAGCGGCCCGGCAGGCCGTTTCAGCTTCGTTCCTTTAGGAGAGCTGAGCTTCGGCAGCGCGACCTCGGGAGCCAGCGGCCGGGTGCACGGGCCTGGATCGGGGGCCTCTGGAGCCGCGTGGCGCTGACGCCCCTCTGTCTCGCCAGGACGCTCGGCACAACCTGACGGTGAACCTGACCACCCTGCGCGTGTGGTGCTACGCCTGCGGGAAGGAGGTGTTTCTGGAGAGGAAGCTGGGGCCCCGCTCCCCAGCCCCGTCGGCCAAGCCCCATTCCCCCTTGCACACCTGCAGCCAGGTAGGCCCCTTGAGACCGCTGCGCGCTCGTGCGCTGGAGGAGAGGCAGGCTGGCCGAGTGACCGAGGCACTGGAACAGGGGGTGTCCCCCCCCCCGAGCGACCCCCCTCAGCCCCATCCTTCTTTTAGGAAGTACGACCCCAAGCCTGCTTGTGTGTGGTTGAGTTCACCCCTCCCTCCCCCATCATCTGTGTAAGTCTCTCAGTGATAAACAAGTGGTTATTAACTGCTGACCTGAAAGTGGGGGGGAGGCAGTCGTTATGAAATTTAGACCTAGCCATTTTGTTGGCTGTGTAAAAAAATACAGGGAATCTCGCTATTTCGCAGCCTTTTCAGGTGGAGATGCTCAGCCTCCAACTACGGTACCTTCAACGCCGGGCCTTGGATCGAGCCGGTGCTCTCTGTGCAGAGCCTCCTGACTCTGGATCACATGGCGTTCTGAAGAGGCTGTGGAGTTGGTGCCTTTTGACACCACTCACACACCCACACAGACCACGTGCCGGCTTGGCCGTGCAGATCTTGAAGCCCGATCCATTATTATTTCACGATGTTTGTGCCTCTTTGGGATCGATTGGCGCTTCCTTTTCGCAATCATTTCTTGCCTGTTGGTTGAATTTTTTTTTTCTTCAATTCTGGGATCATGATAGTTTCAGTGGTGAAGTGTGCTTGATTGCAACTGATATGCAGAAGTGTACGTGAATCCACAGTCTGTCGTGGGCAACGTGCCTGGGATAGTTTCTGTTCTGGGTGTACAGTGTTTAAGTGTTAGGGGAAAAGGGTATTCAGTTCCTCACAAGTACAGTATGTGCTTGCATGCAGGCTTAATTTTGCTTTTTTTCTCTAGCCTCTCTTGTTGTGGATGTGCCAGTGCCATGTGCCTTAATGTGGCCGTGTTCTCCCTTGTCTCTCTGGTGTCAGGATGTGAAAGTCCCTGGGAGCCCCGGATTGAGGATTCCCCAGGCAGCTGTCTGTGATGACCTAGATACAGAGATGGAAGAGGAGGATGAGTTCAGAACGAGAGGTATAGCCGTTGCTCATTGCCGCCGCATGTGACTGCGAGACGTTGTAGTGGCTCCAGCTCCTAGCTTGCCAGCGCAGGTGATCCAGACTGTCAGGCCAGATTCCTGTTGATGTGAACCAGTAGTCCATCCCACTAGCACCAGAGCACAGCAGTGCTTACCGTTGTCGTGATCGCTTGTTTCGGCAGTGTAGCTGCAGTGGCATTCTGCAGCAAACTCATGGTGTCTGTGCTGACGGCTCTTCAGTAACGCATTAACTGCACATTTACTTACTGTCCTTTTGTCTCTGTAACTTAATTACCTTCTGTTCTTCTAATACTGATTGTCCTAGATGCTGCTGGTGGGGAAAAATTTGAAGATATTTGAGATATTTCCATGTAGCAAGGAGCAGAACAGATGCAGACACTGTTTAAAAGTCCCGAATTATGCTTTACAGTATGAATGACAGCGTCCTGCTGTACAGTTCAGCGTTTGATTTTTAACTGATCTCTCAACATTTGCGTTTCCCTCCAGGCCTCACCGGATTAAAGAACATTGGGAACACGTGCTATATGAACGCAGCTCTTCAGGCACTTTCGAACTGGTAGGTGGGGCTCCTCGGCTTAGTCTGCTGCCAGTGATGTTCAAGCCCGCTCCCAGAACTCCACTGGTTTTTATAGGTAACAAAGTGTGTGATTGAGCATCCAAGGTGGAATGAAAACCAGAAACAAGGTGGCAGCCCAGGACCGGGAGGGAATATCACAAATAGTATTAGTGTCTCTGCAAAAAGATGCTTCGTTTTATAAGGCCATTGAAAAAAGAGGTTGAGGTGACATGGCCTAGGCTTCAGTGATCTCTCTGTTCAGATCACAGTGACCTCATCTGCTGATGTTTTTGCCCCTCTTTTAGTCTGCGAGTGTAAAAAAAGCTTTAAAGCTGTTAAAACCCCTTTACTAAATAATGCTGTGTTTATTACTAGCTCATGCATTTTCTGTCTTGTTTTTTAGTGGGAGGAGGAATGCGTTCAATAGTATGAAATTACTGCAAATCTAATAGTGCTTTTAAGCTCTACTCTGATCTTATCGGATGAAGTTCTCTGCCATAACGAGATCATCTTTCAGCTCTGCTTATTGGTCTTATGACTGAATACAACTGGATTTGATTTGCAGCATCGGAGATTTCCTACATCAGGCATTCTGCTGGTGGTTTGGTGGTTGGGGGATTCAGATTTTATCTTTTCAGATATGGAGTGGTAGCGCGATTATACTTACTGAACGATGGATGTGCATCGCAGGGTTCAGAGCTCAAGGGATTCGACTGAGCTGTATTAATACAATGGGCCTTATAATGTTAATGCTATGTTGCCCCTTGATGTTCCTTAAAATCCTACAGTGCCCGATGATCAGCACATTAGGGTGTAACACCTTACAGTAATGTACAATAATTACTATGTATTTGCGCAACTAGTGTCATCTGCACTCAGTTGTCAGATACGACTAACGGGCTTTTTTTTGCAGTTTGCTTGTTTAATGTGTCCCCTCTTTTTATTTGTGTCCCCTCTTCGGTTGAAGCCCACCGCTCACCCAGTTTTTCCTCGACTGCGGAGGTCTCGTGAGGACGGAGAAGAAGCCTGCTCTGTGCAAGACCTATCAGAAGCTGGTCTCGGACATTTGGCACAAAAACAGGTTGGCCTCCCGCGTCGCAGGTTTCAGATGCGGAAATGATCAGAGTACACACTGTCTGTAGCTCCCGTTTAGTGAGAATGAATGGTTCGCGGTCTGTCCTGTAGTCAGACTCTTGGCACTGTCTGTGTGGCCTCCCCCCAGGAGACTGCTGAGCAGCTTTGCAAGACGTGGGATTCAAATATTAAAACAGGGTTATTATGACTGAAGTGGATGCTGCAAGGGTGCCAAGATTTCTAAAATTGGAGAAGTAAACAATCAATGAGGAGGATCTGTTGGTTGCTGGTTGTGAAGTGATCTGAGGAGCTGATCCAGCTGTTTCTTGATCGAAACCAGGGTGCAGCTTCGAAGGTTAGAGTAGCTTGCTTCACATTCCCATAGTCCTTAGGTCAAAGATGTGCTTCCTTTTCTCCGTTTTAAGAATACCCCTACGCTTCTGTCCCACTGGTTTGTGTTTCACTTTAGATCACGAGGACTTCCTTGGGGTTGGCTTTGTCAGTGTATTTGAGGTTTCTGAATACTTGAATCTGGCCCCCCTGTCTTAATGGTTTAGGGTTATGGTGATTTGCTCATTCATTGATCATGAGTAGTTATGGACCTCAAACTGTAGAAAATGTAAACATCCTTGTGGCTAGCTAACTTCAGATATTTAATACAAAATCTTCTGGGTTGACCACCTATATATATATATTTAGTCATATATTTATTCTATTTTATCCAAGACAACTTAAATGTGGTGAAGCATTTAAATCATTTAGGAGATCATGGCAATAACGCAGCAGTTTATTATCTGAGTGTAATTAAATGCAGCTGTTTAATCCATTAGGTAACTGCCCGGTTTTGAAATGTTTATTTGTGCATTTTGTTGCCTTGCAGGCCTGGGTATGTAGTGCCAACAAGTTTATTCCAGGGAATAAAAGCAATCAATCCGTTGTTCCGCGGATATTCACAGCAGGTGAGTTGTAATTATACTCCCTAAATAACTTCTTATACAAAATGAACAAAGTAATTATCAAAATTTGTTGTTTTTTTATTTCCTTCAATTAAAACCGGTTTATAATGAATAAATCCTTAATGAGGAGTTCTTTAAAATCCCGACCTTATTAGTTTATTTACAGTCGTTGCGTCCTTGATTAACTATGTCCTTGATTAATTCAAAACTTCTCATACCACGTATACACAATACCAAGACAGGATCAGAGCTTTGACCTGCCATTCACTCAATAAAATTGACAACAAACTCAGTACCAAATGGAAGGATTTGTTTTTTTCTCTGCATAGTGGAAGCCTGCCCTTAAAGTTTGGGTTTGTAGTTTGCCTTTGGCAGGTGAGTTACAACTTTGATTTCCAGGCAAGTGTTTATAGAAATATATAGCAAAGCCAGCCATCTTCATCTCATACAAACGTAGGGGACGGAAGAAAATCTGTGACAGAACAGTGTTTTCTCATTTTAGTCATTTAGCTGATTTTAAATCTAAATTTATGATCCAGGAGAAAGTCAGTTATGCTTACAGGAAGAGAAAAGAAACTTTTGATTGTTATAGTCTTTAATAACTTCATGCTTCTCAGTAAAATCCTTTTGAAAGAAAAAAATTAACATGCTGTTACGAATGGCTCTATCTGTACTTTCCCTACTGTAATCATGGACTCTAAATTAGTCAGGGCTATTTATGCTCAGAGCACTGAGATGCTGTGATGGAATTCCTCTAAGTGCCTGTATTTGTTCAGTTGTAGCAGCTCGTGAATATTAATTTGTCACACCACAGTTACACTGCGCTCAAGATAATTAGCATTTCAATCGTAGGAATAACAAGCCAAGCACAGTGAGCGCTTTAGACAAAACATCTGCGGTTAGTCCTGCAGCCCGGCTCTGCAGTGAAGTGAAAAGAAAGCCGAGATCTAGACATTTCCCCTTCGTATGAAGGCAAAAGCAGAATTGCATGACCGGTATAAAAGATAGTGTGAAACTCAGATGCTACTTCCTCTGTTTTTTTAAAATGGTTCTTCTTTCGAGTAGATTATTTCCTTTGAGAGCGTTTGCCACCTAAACTACTGTATGTAGAAAAGGCCTTTCACTATGAACTGCACCAGGCAGGTATAAGCAGTGATACAAAGTGGGTTATTGAGCAGTATTGTTGAATAGTTCTGCAGTGGCCTTCTAGAAGGAAAGAGCAGTCTTTCTCACTGAGACGTGTAAAAAATGGAGTTGCAGGAAGTGTTGAAAGGGGGGTGAATTAGTTTTCCACCTTCGTTTTGTGGTCGGCTGCCTGGCGTTGCGTGGTGTCTCTGGGACAGAGTGGGCAGAGTGTGGTGTCTGTGCCTGAACTTCCTAGGATTCCCAGGAGTTCCTGCGCTGCCTGATGGACCAGCTGCACGAGGAGCTGAAGGAGGTCCTGGTGGAGCCCGACGAGCCCTCCTCGCCCGCCCTCACCCCCGGCGACGGCCCGGAGGACGACCGGGGCCAGTCCGACAACGACTTCCAGTCCTGCGAGTCGTGCGGCGGCAGCGACCGGGCCGAGGGCGAGGCCAAGCCCGGCGCGGAGGAGCCCGGCGAGGTGGCGATGCTCATCCCCGAGGAGGAGGTGCCCCCCGCGGCGAGCGGCAGGGGCCGGCAGAAGGAGAAGAACCGCGGCAGCAGGCCGTGCCGGGCCGGCTCCTCCGGGGACGTGGACAAGGACATCGACACCGCGGCCGAGCCCGCCGCCGCCGTCATCAGCAGCCAGGGGGCGGTCAAGGTGCCCATGCAGGGCCGGGCCTCAGGTAACCCTGCGCTGAGCGTCCTCTGGCTCGACGGGGGCGGAGGGAGGGGAGAACCGCAGGGGGGGGGGGGGACGTCTTCCAAACGAGCTGCAGCCGAAAGCCGTCGGAGCCCGTTGAGAATCGGCGTTTAGGAGCGAGGGGTGAAAGGTGAACGGCTGCGTTTAAACGTGGGGGAAGCTGTTCTCGGCCTCCCCCCCCCCCCCTTGCGTGGTCGATGTCAAAGAACCGTTTCAAAATGCTTCGGCGTTTTTTAGAGCAGCCCTTTTGGGCCCACGCCGAAAATGTATGTTTTTTGGATGTCGCGTGTCCAGTCAGGTTCATTTACCTTGTTTCCTGCGCCTGTCCCTGTTTAAAAAAACGTTCTTGTCCGAAATCGACTCACGTTTTGATGATCGGAGTCTCCTCGTGTGAGGGCTACCTGTGGTAATGAAATTCCACAAAGGATTCTTACCGTCCCGTCACATACTAATGCTCCGCGTGTTAACTGAATTATTCTTACAGTCTGCTGTGGAGGGTGCACCGTGCTGTAACATGCCTTTTTATAGAATTCAAAACTCGTTTTGGTTTTGTTTGTTTTTTTGTATGGGTTCTGAGTCTGGGATAAGTGAGGAGCTTGTGTGAACGTTTGCTCATCAGTGTTCCTTCTCGTGCGTGCTTTAAGCAGACTGCTACCCGGACGTTCCGGCTTCGTTCGGCTCCTCCCGATCGCACAGCCCCACGCCGAATGAAGGAATCAACGCCAAGCTGTCCAGCAGTCCTCCTAAAACTGGCCCCGTGTGGTCAGGCCTGGCCCCTTCACACAAGAAAGGTGACCGTTGCACACTTTCCCACCAGACCCGTGCGCCGACTGTGGCAGACTGATTTCGCAGTCAACGCGTCTCCTCTGTTTGGTGTTAACTGTACGCGACTACGATCGGTTATTCATTTATTCTAAAGGTTGGCCAGTCTCCGTTTTATTTTTTGAATGATTCTTGTCTGATGCTGCTTCATTCAGGACGAACAGCGAAACATGAACCAGGGGGGTGCAAACTGTGTGGCGGTGTCTTTGAAACTGAAAGGGGGAGCGCTTGTTTACTTAAGGGGTTTTAAGAGTATGGAACAAGCTCCCCAGCTAGGTCATTGAAGTTGACACCCTGGTTTCTTTCACGAAGTGGCTGGACCTGCTAACTACCAGCTGGGCTAGATGGGATGAATGGCCTTTCCTAACTTGTAGTTCTTGTTTTTTTTTTTCGTGTTACGCGGTGGTTAGCTTGAAGAAAATGTAACTTGCTGAGGAAAATTGAAAATTTTGGCTTCTCGAAATCTGTCCTGAAAAGAGTACAGAATTCATTTCGTGATAAATCAGAACTTCTGGCACGGCCAAGTGAGGCTGCTTTGTGTTGGCAAGTCGAAGACAGTCAGCTCAAAGTAAACAGTCTAGTCTGATTTCACACTTGTTATAAATATTGTGGCTGGATTCTGTTTTTAGGGTGTCTGACTTTACAGATCATTGTGTCAGATCATTGGGCCGGACATTAAAGACCAGATTCCACTTGCAAAAAGTCCGTTTGACTGCACGGATCCAGTGAAAGTCATATACTTCCGTAAATACTTTCGGGGGAAGTTCAAGTAGCCAAATTCCCCGTCGACGATGAAAGACCAATCGTGCTTCTGTTTTGTAAACCAGTTCCGCCGTTCTCGCTGCCCAAGAACAAGACGCAGAAGAAGTACCGCAGCGTGATCTCGGACGTGTTTGATGGCACAATTGTCAGCTCTGTGCAGTGCCTGACCTGTGATCGGGTGAGTTTGATAGGCTTCAAGAGCACGTCGACTTGATTGCTCCTGACACATACTGACATGAAAATAACGGGCTTCGTTAGTGATACAGTGTACTCCTATTTAACCAGCTGGTTAACGGCAATAACAGTGTGAATATATATTACAACCTTTACGTTGCATATTTGCAAGCACAACCTTTCTGTCTGTTTTTTCTGTTTATGATGTTCTTTAAGCATAGTAACACTTCCCAAAGATTCCCGGCGTGGCATTGGTGATCTTAGACATCATTTGTTTTTAAGATTGTCTTTCCTGCTTAGCTTTCATTGGAACCCAATAGTGTGGCAAAAGAAAAACGAGGAGAAGCGGGTCCCTAGCTTGTAATGTTTTAAAAGCCGCGTTGGGGGGGCGTGTGGGAGGTGGCGGTGGCAGTGGATGTGACTGGATGCGCTGTGCGTGTGGCCCCCTGCAGGTGTCCGTTACTCTGGAAACCTTCCAGGACATCTCCCTGCCGATCCCTGGGAAAGAGGATCTGGCAAAGCTGCACTCCTCCTCGCACCAGACCTCCCTGGTCAAAGCCGGCTCATGTGGGGAAGCTTATGCGCCTCAGGGCTGGATAGCTTTCGTCATGGAATATATCAAAAGGTGGCCGTCAAGTGCTTGCAAACCGCCTTTATCGCATTTGTAAATGACTTTTGTTATTCATTGTACAAGATGTGTGTGTGTGTGTGTGTTCGGCACTTATCTTCCTTATTTTTTCCCCACTCAGTTGGTTTTGGGGTCCGGTTGTTACACTGCAAGACTGCTTAGCTGCCTTTTTTGCAAGAGATGAGCTAAAAGGTGAGAGAAGCCTCAAGTTTCCTACAAGAAACTGAAGGCATTTGCTGCTCTGCACGACGTGTTCCAAAATGACTGCCAGTGAATGCAGTTTCATTAACTACAGTTAACAGAAATCAAATCAGTGTGAACGTGGCCTTAATGTGTCCTTTGGGGGGAAAAAAACTACACAATGTCACTAAAGCAAATGCATCACACTGTTGCTCAGTTTTTCACCTTCATTTTTCTTTTTTTTTTAGGGGATAACATGTACAGCTGTGAGAAGTGCAAAAAGTAAGCCACTGCAGATTGTTTTAATAGTACGCTATACACCCGTTCATGGCCAAAAACATGTTCTTTTCTTCACGTGTTGGTGTTTATTAGTATGCACGCAAGGGCTGAGGATGAAAATCTTGTGGCACTGCGCTGTCTTGCTACAGTCATAGTATCTTTTTCATGGGGCGCTCCTGAAGTTAAAAACTATCTGCTCGCTTTCCCTGTGGGGTAGACAGGAAGGGTCATTGAATAAGAAACCTGTGATGAACAATTCAGAGGACAACCTTTCCTGATGTGCGTTTACTGGCTGGTTGTAGCAGGCGTTCGGCAGGAACTGTAGGATAATCCAGTTCCGAGTTCTACATTCATTTTTTAATTTTAACTTGCAAGGTATTCATACGAAATACAGATTAAGAAAATTCATGTTTTTTTTTCTGCTTCAGGTTAAGAAATGGAGTGAAATTTTGCAAAGTACAGAGTCTTCCAGAGGTACTTATTCTGTTGATCCGTCTTCATTCGATTTTAAGAATCCCCGATAAATGTGGATTGCAGCTCCTGGAAGTGCATTAACCCAGCTCCCGCGCTGTCTCGGTACAGGTCTTGTGCATCCACCTGAAGAGATTCAGGCACGAGCTCATGTTCTCCACCAAAATCGGCACCCACGTTTCCTTCCCCCTGGAGGGGCTGGACATGCAGCCCTTCCTGGCCAAAGACAGCACGGCGCAGACCACCAGCTACGACCTGCTCTCGGTCATCTGCCACCATGGCACCGCCAGCAGTGAGTTCCACCGGCTGATCGCGCCCTTCTGAATGGTTTTTACAGCAGTTTAACATGAGGGTTCCGATCCGTTTAAACTAAATCGAGGACTAAAACGGCCAAAAAGTATTCATTGTAGTGGATGAACCGTGAACTGTACTGTTTCCCGTATCGTGTTACTGATAGTGAAGAGTTTACCAGTCCAAGTTTAAATATTTGCCTTTTCAGGTACATTCCTAAAAAAGGTCCAGTAAAAATGTTTTTTTTTTTACTGGTTGTTGCATTCTTTTCCATTTTTTTTACACAGTTTATGTAAAGTGTTGTTTTCATTGTCAAAAATGGCAGCAAGAAAATGACATCCTTCACAGCTGTCAGCCTAAGTCCTTGAACATATACAGCACATTTTTATACATGCTCTTCATTTTAGACATTCTGTGAATATCTCCTCCACTCACACCCTAGAACGCTTCCCTTTCAGTAAAGCTCTCCACTTCAAGTATGTTATTTTTCAAAACGGTATGTTGTACAAGGTAGTGAGTCACAGTACACATTGTTTTATGGATTATATGGCCACGTATGTCATACCACCTCTGTAAATGTAAATTCCAGCAACTAATTTCTTGGGCGTTATAATGCTTTTAAACAGAGCAGTGAAGAAATGGATTGGTTTTAATTTTCCCTGAGACAAGGTGAATGCTGAAGGTAATCATGCGATAATGTGGGTCACCCCCTGATGCACAGAGGGCAGCTCTGTTTCCTTTTGGTCAGGAGTGCCGCCCGAACAGTTCTTTAAGCACTGCCCTGTTACTGTCGAAAACACCTTTTTGTTTTTATCCTTCTGACCTCTCTAGGTGGTCACTACATAGCATATTGCAGGAATGACCTCAATGGCCTGTGGTACGAGTTTGATGACCAGAGTGTTACTGAGGTTTCAGAGGTGACTGTCCAAAACGCTGAAGCCTACGTCCTGTTTTACAAGTAAGACGGAGACCTTTCTGCTGGGGCGTTGAGATAAACGTCTTACGAGGAGAAAATACACGCATGACACTTAATGTACATTCATGCAGGTATCCAAATCCTGAAGCAGAAGAAGATAATGGGAAATCAAGGGATCTATATTATAGTTGTAAAGCCCAGTCGTAAGACATCATTGAGAATGTTCTCTGCACTTTTGGTCAACAAGATACAATAAAATATTGCTCCTCTGCACATAGTTTAGAAAACCACCACCACATTTTCTAGGGCATGAACAGAGAACATTGAGGGGACCTGATTCAGGTATTTGCAATTTTCTGAGGCATACTGTATATAAAGTCAACACAGTGGACTTTTTCAGAGACATCTGGTGGACCCAAGTATGAACTCGGGGGACGTTTGTTCAAAATTGGTAAAAGGAGACATTTTTTCACACAAAGTCAGAGGCATGGAAGAAGCTTACACAGACATGTTTTTTGACAGTAACACCCTGTCTTTTATCACAAATGGCTTGATGGGATCCTCAGGTCAGGTAGCTGCTAAAAAAAACCCTATATGGGTGAAAGGTCCTTTCTCATCTGTTCATTTTCTTGTAATGTGTTGAGAACTTGCAGTTGCCATGACTTCATGAGAATGACTATTTGGTCTTGCCTCCTCACATCATTTAGGGTTGTGGGGCTCTCATGGTCATCTAATTCCATTTAAATAACCGGATTAACGTCAGTTTCTGTCGTGTCAAGTTTGGTGTTCCTGATTTGTTCTTTTGATCAATGCATAATAGAAAGTTAAAAATCTTGACATCGAATTCAGAAATTCATGTCAGTGTTTTTTTTCTGTGATTAAAAATGGAAAAAGTAGCATTTTCGTAGTTTATACAGTGTTTATCGCCGAGACTTGAACTGAGTGAAATGTTACATTTTTTTAAATAGTCAAATGAGCAGTGAGGTACTACTACGTAATCATACAGCATGCAGGCAAGTACGTGCTTATGTGTTGTGGTGCTCTTCGTTCGAGAGAAACTTTGCCCCGAGTGGCTCGGTTGGCTGTGCTCATGGAGGTGCTGTGTCGTGCCAGGAAGAGCAACGAAGAGGCTCAGAAGGAGAGGCGGAGAGTGTCCAATCTCCTGAGCATGCTGGAGCCCAGCCTGCTGCAGTTCTACATCTCCAGACAGTGGCTCAGCAAGTTCAAGACCTTTGCGGAGCCGGGATCGATTTGCAACAACGACTTCCTGTGCTCCCACGGAGGTAACGGACGACGTAGCTCTCGTTTCCTGTCTGCCACTTACTGATGCCATCCCCCTTTATTTCCTCCGATCTAAATAGGGTAGTTATAGTGCGACTGGAGTTCTCTTAGGCCAGGCCCGCGAGTTCTCAAAGAGGTTTCGTGACAATTGAAGACAATAACAGAACCAAGAGATTGTCAACAACGAATAGTTTTTATGCATTTCTTTATCTGTTCTTGCTAACTGAAATTTCTTCCAGGATGTATCCGAAGTAAAGCTGGGTCTACTGGGTTTTTGAAGGCAAACCTTTAATGTGACCACACAAAGTGCTTGCTGGCTGTACCCTTAAACGTGCAGCTGCTTTCCAAAGCTCTTTTAGCTCTCTTCTTAATGATGTGTATAGACAGAAACATTGATTGTAAACTTGAAATGAAGAAGAAATTGAAACCATCTGTGTGAAAGCTATGCCAAAAAACAATCTGTCTGCTGTTTGTTCAGATTGTTTTTGTGCTTTTCAGCTACTGTTCAGTACCTACTCTGTTCCTTACTTGTATTCAGGTTGGAGATTAAAAAGCAGAGCTAAATAACTCCATGGGCTCTTTCAGAACTTTGAGCAGAACCTGTTGGTAACTAGTGTCTATCTGAAGTGCAAAACTTGCAAGCAATACATGTCGAACACCACAAAATATATGTACTTTACAATTTGATCATGCCAAGCTTGACATTGGTACTTATTATTCGTTTACTGTGACAGTAATGTAGTTTACTCAGTAGCTGAAAAAAACCCAAAACAATTCAGTGGTATCTGTTGTTTAGTAGTATCTATATTCTCTTGTGCTTACCTAGGATCTTAGAGATCAGTTCACACAGCACAAAATTGAGTGTGACACATTAAGAAGAATTTGGTGGTACCCACTGTCTGTATGTTTGATGGCATGGTTTTTTGGGGTCTATAAATTGTGTGTGTGTGTGTGCTCTGAGATGGAGTCCTGTGGCACCTAGGAACTTATTCCACCTTCCTCCCTATATTTCAAGGATAGGCTTTGGATTTACGTGACCCTCACCAGAAATAAGTGCCTTCATGACGATAGCTGGTTACCCATTCCTGAGATACCCTGCAGCCTTTCATGTGTGCACTCCTTGTGTTCTCTGCAGGTGTGCCACCTCACAAAGCTTCCTACATCGAGGACCTTGTTTTAATGCTTCCCCAGAATGTCTGGGAATATCTGTACAGCAGGTGAGGCCTCTGCCACTGTGGCTCTCTGTGCCAGCAGTTTGCAGACAAGCGCTCGATGTGCTTGTCTCTGTCAGCATTGAAAAACCTGGGTCTGTCTCTGATCATGTTTCCTCTTTTTTTTTCCCCCAAGGTATGGTGGAGGTCCAGCTGTTAACCATCTTTATGTGTGTCACACGTGCCAGACTGAGATAGAGAAGCTCGAAAAAAGAAGAAAAACAGAGCTGGATATGTTTGTTCGGGTATGCCTTTTTGGCAAATTAAATTCAGTCAGACTGAAACATCATAATTAGGCTTTCTGGGTCTGTGCAGGAAAATGCATGATAATGTATTGAGTTTTGGAGTGAAATATTAAAGCCCATCTGCATTACTTGGTTGGGAAACTACAAAGCAATCTGGAGAACTTTTTGTTCTGTAGTTTTAATAGGACGGTGAGGCAAGTGGTCCATTTGATCAATAGCACTGAAGCTTTTACCAGTGCGAAAATTACCATAGCCCTCAGTAAGAAGCGCTACCAAGTGTAGCAGGTGTGAGCCCTCTTTATATGGCAGTGCAGTGGGTTTTGTTTTCTCAGCATTTTAAAGAAGTTGGCCAGCAGCCTCCTTCAGAACTGAGGCAGAGAACAGAGAGTGTAATTGGTAGGGCAGCCCTCTCATCCTGTCTTCGCTGTTTAAGATTCCTGTGCCGTGATCCTGCTGTGCTGTGAGATATATCCTTCGAGATACTTTGAACTGCTCGCATGATAAAAGATCAAAATGTCTGTCCTAAAACGAAAAGGTCCGTTAATAATTCTTGGCAGCCGGTTTACTGGCTTTAACCTGTTGTGAGCTGAATTGTCCTGAAACCAAAACAAACGTGACCAAATCAAAGATAAAATGGACTTCCTTTATTCCCCTGTTGAAGGTTTTATGTAATCGGATAGAAACGTGTTGTAATTAGCCTTTCTGGTGCTGTTCGCGTTACAGAATTTTGGAGTTTTTGCCCTACAAAATATTTTTGGGTTATTTTAATAACTTTGTTTGTATCAGTGTTATATATCATGTATTTCAAGAAGGGGAAACAAAATCCGTTGAACAGTATCCTGCAAGACTGTACATATTTAATTCTAGGTTTTCACCCATATTTTGAATCAAAGATGGGTGGGGGCATCTCTTAATAATTCCTTAAGGCGTTAATATAATATATTTAAAGGAACAATAACCTTTTGTTGTAGGCTTGAAACCCCCCACCCCACCCCTCCCAGCCTCACCACAAACACAGAGATAAGGAAACTGCCAGTTCTTGTCATAAACACTGCCAAACATAATAGATCCATTTCTGTCAACAGCTGAACAAAGCCTTCCAGGAAGAGGAAGCCCCCGCAGTCATTTACTGCATCAGCATGCAGTGGTTCAGAGAGTGGGAGGGCTTCGTCAAAGGCAAGGACAATGGTGAGTCCCTCATAAAAAAAAAAAACCCTGCCTCCGCATCTCCTGAGCTTCACACTCGCCACGTCTTCCAAATAATAAATTAGCCGGCATGAAACTCTGAGCTTCTGCTTCACTTTCCCTCTCGAAAGCAGGTTATAAATAGCCAGAGCTCCCTCATCGACAGGCAGTTCTGCTGCATCTTTCGTGAGATGCATATTTTCTCCTCGTAAGACGTTTATCTCAACGCCCCAGCAGAAAGGTCTCCGTCTTACTTGTAAAACAGGACGTAGGCTTCAGCGTTTTGGACAGTCACCTCTGAAACCTCAGTAACACTCTGGTCATCAAACTCGTACCACAGGCCATTGAGGTCATTCCTGCAATATGCTATGTAGTGACCACCTAGAGAGGTCAGAAGGATAAAAACAAAAAGGTGTTTTCGACAGTAACAGGGCAGTGCTTAAAGAACTGTTCGCCGTTCCTCACGCTGGCCGTACCCGTGAGCCCTGAGACCGCTAGACCGTTTCTGTAACGTGCACACGCAGCCAGGGTCTCATCGATCAGCCAGCCCCGAAATTCATTTCGTGCGGCTGTCACCGGTTCGGCATCGGTCCTCAGTCGTTCCCGTTTGTCCAAAGCCAGACTCTTCATCGGTATTCTGCACATTTCCTTTGGGGTAGATGATAATGCCATTTTTTTTTTTATGGCAAATGGCTGTGTAATCATTTTAATGGTTTCAATGCTGTTCCGTAAAGACAGGAATTTTGTAGCCATATGTTTTTAAATTTCAAGCTTAATGTTCCTTCAGATGTGATCCTGCTCGTTATTCCCAGCAGCATTGTGTCCGTATAGCCTTAATGATAATGGTCTAAAAAATGGCACTATTTATTAGTATTGTTTGGTACTGCTGAAGGCTGAAGACACGCTAAACGGTAAACTGGCTTCTCATGGTAAACTTATAAAACAGGAATTGTCCAAAGCTGTATTTCTGTCATTAGTCAGAGTAAAGCTTGTGGTTAATGTTTTAATGGAGAAGTGCAGAATCCACTTCTTTCCTTGTTTGTCTGAAGCAGATTATTTCAAAATTATTCTGTTGCCAAAATTAAATTAAAAGTTCTGCCGTTACCCTGGCACCCCACAGCTACTTTTCGTCAAGCATATATCTCTGTCCACCCATCTACAACTGCACGGTGTGTTGATGACTGCCCTTTCAAAACTGAGCTCTGAAAATGTCATCCACCCTGTATTACATGCAATACCGTTGTCCTTATGACTCAGAGAATAGGGTTTTAGAATCTAAAACAGTCTGAATGCAAACCTTTGTAATTGGTAGCACATGGCGTTTACTAGTTCCATTTGAATCTATTGATTCCATATGAAAAGCACTGTGTAAATACTTTGAAATGATGTACTGAAGTAAATTGCACACCAGAAATGTGGCCATTAGATTAACTGCCCTATTAAATTGCTCATAACCTTTGTTGTTCCAAATACAGTGTGTCCTGAGGGTAGTAATTGATTATTCATTTTAAGTTCCCTTTTTGCATGTACTTCCAATACTTACATCTTATTCAGAGCATTTTTATGATTGCGATTCGATCACCTGCTGTTTTCTCCCCAACATTTTGCTCTTGTAATTTAAAATCTAATCTGAGTTGCTTTGAGATGAGAAGCACATTAGACATTTTAATGTAGGCTTTCATTGTTTCCTTTCAGTGCAACTTGATTGAAAGCTTGTCGTTCCTATTGTATATTCTGTTCTTAATAGGTGAGCACACACTGCTGTTAAAACAGTAGTATCAATCATAAGTATTTCAAAGTGAACTTGTTTTTGTCTTTTCCTTTAGATCCTCCTGGGCCGATTGATAACACCAAGATCGCTGTGAATAAGAATGGGCACATCACACTGAAACAAGGTTATGACTCAGCTCCTGTCAGACGTTTTGGCTTCATTTTTTATTTTGTTGTGCGAAAGGACACTGCTCTCGTCCCATGACTCTGCCGACTGGAGCATTTTCAGAAACGCCCGCTACAGTTATAGTGGGGATAGGCGTAATTTGTTAAATCGGCTCAATCTCCGTCTTTGAATTAATTAAAGGTGCCCACCCGAGCACAGCCGGTGTTCTGCGATCACGGGTTCGAGCCCTGGTTATGTCAGCTGCCTAGTGTGTCCTAGATTCCTTAAGTAGAGCCTCTCAATTGATTGAGCGATTCATTGATTGATGAGCGAGTGCAGCAGAGTGTAGGATGGGATTGGTCAGCCAGGGCTCTGCCCATGACCCCTGTGACCACTGGACAGTCAGTGAGGGGCGCTCCTCTCTTCCAGTGCTGGGTGCTGGACACCCTGCATGGGACTTGGCTGCCTGTGACGTGTCGAAAGTGGCCCAGAGGTGGGTGAGTCGGAAACACCTGACTGCGTTTCTCCCCTGTGAGCCGAGACGCCCCAAAAAACACACATTCTATTTTTTTTTTTAAAAAGCCATGGGGATCATTCCTTTACTCTTGCGATGTTTGATTGAAATAGAAATTTGAGGATCTTTTCAAAGATCTTTCTTGTGCAACCCAATAATTAATCATCATGTCAGTTAAACAAAACAGTTCCTGTAGTCAGTAAGGCACAGTAGGATTAGTTGTATACGGAGGTTTTTACTTTTTCTCCTGTGCAGCAGTGTCCGGGGGTAACCATGCTGTTCTTGTGGAGAGCCATAGCCTTGTAGGTTTTTATAGCTCTTCAATATCACCAGGGGTTAAATACTAGGAACCGATGTCACTGTTGACGGACTAAGCTAATTTCTCAAGGTCTTGAAACGAATGCCCCCCAAGAAAACTTCAGCGCTCCGGAATCGGGGGGTTGTCACCCCAGTTAGAGATTTACCGTCCTGCGCTGGCACTCTTGTGTTCGCATCTGCTACGTTGCAAGGATGAATAGAAAGGGAGCATGTCCAGGGGCTGCCTGTTGTGATTCCGGTCACCAGAGCTCGGGTTTATAAGAACTGGAGCTGGCGTTAAGCTTGAAAGCAAGGAACGCGCGCATGCATGCTCGCACAGGGGCAGGACTGTGACCTTCTCTCACTGTGTGCCGAATTTACAGGGGCGGATTCGGGACAGATCTCCGAAGAAACCTGGAACTTCTTGCAATCGATCTACGGGGGGGGCCCGGACGTGACTCTGCGGCCGAGCGTTGCGCACCAGGACTCCGAGCTCTCCCATGCAGAAGAGAAGATAGAGGTGGAGACCCGTTCTGTGTAATTCCTGCGCCGCGAGAGAAAATAAACGCACCCCTTTTTTTGTACTCGACAAGCATTTTTTTAAAGCAAAAGGCATTTGTGGAAGGATGTCGTCATTTTTCTTTTTTTAAATTATATGGGCATTGTTATTTTTGACAATCGATGGAATAAGTACATGACAAAAGAAGAACTGTATTTGTATAGAAGTTTCTTTTGCCACTGAAGACAGTAGTTAGTCTAACAGGCTGTGATTAAACAAGTGTGTTGACCTACTGTGCAGCAGAAGAAATTATAAATGGTCTTTTTTTGTAAATCAATTAGATTAAAAACCAGCCCTTGTATTTAAACCCCAATTATGTACTTCAAACTGTAAAAAATGCAATGCATACAATAGTAGTCATTTTAGAAGTAAATCTCTTTATGAAATACTGTCTTAGAGTGGTTAAAAAACCAAAAATGGATAGCTAAAAGGTTTTCAAAAATGACACAAATTTTAAGGTTATCAAGGGATACTAAGTACTTACCAAGTAGTCTCAGGAAAGAACTGTTTTGCACTGTATTGTGGACAAAGAAACAGCATGCTCACACAAGTGATGCCTGATATATTTTGAATGTACCAGTACATGAAGTACTTATGTTAAGTCCTACTGTTTTATTTTTATTTATCCTATAATGGATTAAATCTAATAAGTTGTCTTTTGTGAGAAGCACGGCAGCTCAAGGGCGGGGCTATAAGGAAAGGCTGTGCACAAAAGAGAACAGGTTTTAAACAGGTTTGTACTTTTACAACTTTGATTGCATTCGTCTGCATGTAAATGCAACATAATGTACACTTAAGCAAAGACTTTCTGTCCCGTCTGTGAAGATATATGTACAGAATACATAATGATTTATTCAGATCCAGGGATTTTTATTTGATGCTATTTTGGAAAAAAAGGCATTCTTTTATGTTCATGGGCATGATGGTTTTCTGTGTTAGGAAGCTGGAAAGGTGCTCTTTTGTACTTGGGGGGGAAAGATACACATGGAATGCTTCATAACAGGTAAATACAGTATGTTCTGTCTTTGGTTGATGCTATTATAACCTTTAAAATATCTGAAAACCAAGCTCTTCAATAAATCGTGTGATCAGACTCTTATGCTTTACAGTTTTTGATTAGCTTATAGTAACATGCTTTCAGTGTAATGGATTAAACTAAAAAGAACACATTCATTGGACAGATAAGCACCGTCACTTTTATGATGCTACGCTGGCTTTCTGCTTTCTTTACACAAGGCACAGGGATGTATGAAGCAGTTGGATTAAAACCCTGAAGCATCTCCCATGGATGCAGCTACAAATGTAGGAAAGGCTGTGCAGAGTCCTCTACGTAGCCAGTGTAGTGTGAGTGATACAAATGTGTATTAGATTACCCTGGCAATGTCAAGATAGCATAACAGCTGATCCATGAGCTGTACAAAAACGCCACAGGAGCCCTTTCTTTCCATTCATTTTGCTCATATATTTAATGAAAGCTTTCGTGTACATTTATTTGTAAAGCTGATATTCTGTTAGCAGTCTTCCCTGCATGCACTGCATCTATTTTGCCAGTCTTGGGGGATATGATAATCGGGTACAGAGGCCACTGCTCTGAGCAGCTTTAATATTGCTCAAAGAAACCAAACTGGAATTGTTACCGCATGGTCCAGAGCGAGTCGAAAGCTTTCTCGCCTTAGAATGTGTAGCTAGTGGTGAGATATGGCCACATTTTTTCTTAGGTCAGCATCGGTGTCTCGATGCCATACAACAATCGGCTTTCACTTCCTGAGCTGAACACTAAAGCCTCCCTGAATCGCAACAGCTGAGTCACCGGCTTTTGAAAAGCTCCGCAGCGCATTGTTGTGTCCAGAGAAGAAATGAATCGACAGCTTTATAACCAAGACTAAATGACGCACAAGTCGGGATAAAGTCATGGACACAAGTTTGCAAGCTGCCTGGAAATCTTGAGAAGATGTATTTGTGGTGAAGATAATCATTCAACCACACAAATTAAATGGGTAATTATTTTGATTCACAGATGTAAGTTGAGACTCCCATTTTATACGAAATGGCTTGATATAAGAACATTTTTTACTGCCTTCTTTTGCATTTACTGCAAAATCTGTATTTTGGACAAGTTTTGAAATTGTAGGTAAAATTCTGCCTTTTTGGGGGGGGGGAATTCAAATCAATCCACACCTTGAATCAGGTGATTTTATTTAATCTGAATAAAGTGAGAGGAATGCTGGGTATTTACAGAAGATACTATGCAGGCAGGAAACTGAAAAGAAGACCTACGATCGTGTGGAACAGGACGTTTGCTCCCCGTTTCATGAAAGTTACAGCAGAAACTGAAACTTTTACATCTGGAAAGAGCGTGTAAGTGTGCCTGAGGGTTCAGAAAGAAGGAACAGGTAAGCATGAGTCGTTCGATTTCTACACAAAATGGTCACAACTCTAATGTACAAGGAAGTGAGCTGCAAAAATATGAACGGCGCAAACAATAGAGATAGCAAAAAGTCAGTTGTGCTACCCTTATTTACTGTTACGGGCAACTAAAATTTAAACAGGAATTTTGTTTAAGGATATGCTTGTGGCAACCCTGCTGGTTTCAGGCTGTCATTGTCAGGTGTGCACTATAAGGACTAGCTGGGGTCAAAGGTCACATCGTACCCTGTGATTTGATCCACCTTTCGCTGTTGACATAGACAGAACACTTCTCTCTGCTGCTCCAATCTTCTCCTTTTCCTGGGGCTTGTCTTCCAAGTTCTTGTCTTTCTAAATTTTCTTACAAATGTTTGGCCACACCTTATCCTGATCTGAAAGCCTTTTGCAGAGTTCTTTTTGGAGGGAGACGGAAATGTCTTTTTGAGTTTTGCTCTGTGGTATAATGGATATTTGGGGGAAAAAAGGGGCTTTTCTTATCGTGTAGGTCTTCCACTTTGTCTCAGGCCTGGCCCGTTTTCTACCTCTGGCGTTTCTCATTCTTAGTACCACCAGGAGGCTGGAGAAATCAAAGACACAAATCCCTGGCTCGTTCCTGAAAGAAATTAATCTTGCTGCCCCCTAACAATACATTAAAGAAAGAGTGCATCTTAATTTGAAAACACCCTTCTTACAGCAAATTACAGTAAATAGGAAATAGACAAAGCACCCCTTTGGGAAGCACGGACAGATTTCCCATGTTTGTCAATTTAAAGAGATTCTGATTTAGCAGGCAGGGGTATGAGTGCAGGAACAGGGAGACCGAATGACTTTGCGTTGCTAGGTAGCCTATCGGTCATCAAAGCAAGGAAACGTGGACTGTAGCGATGCAGCCCAACAAGACGCTGCGGTTTATTTTGTTGTTGTTGGAAAACAAGCGAGGCGACTTTTCAAGCGTACGCGTTATCAGTCCGCTTATAGCAATACACATAGATCAAAGGGCGCGTTAGATGGATGCATACTGACGTTTGGGCCTGCGCAGTCGGGGACTATAAAATAAATTACTGGAAATGAACCTGGCCTGGTGAAGCCGGGCCAGGAGATGGCAAAATGAAAACTACATCCAGACACTCTGATATACTGATACCCTGTCTATTGTACAATAACAGTAAGTTAACATTCTGTTGC